CTGAGCCACGGAGGGGAGAGGGGAGAGGTCCAGGAGTGGGGTGGAGGGGGCACAAGCACTGTTCCCTCCTTTGTGGGGCCTGGTTGAAGCTCCTCCCCAGGGAAGGCCCACTGCAGCTCCCCAAGGCTTGGCCACCAAGGCCAGCCGAGCTTCTCTGAAAAATGGGTGGTTCCAGCAAGCTCACCAAGAAGGGAAATAGGTTTGCCCCCCATTTTGCCCCTTGGGAAACTCTGGTCTAGGCACTGAGCCTCTAGGGAGGATGAATGACAAAGGGAAGGGAGGGCCTCTGCCTCCCAGCCTGGGCAGGCCAAGGGCCCCACTTCTTCTAGGTCACCCCACCAGACAGAGCCAGCTGCTCCTCTGCCCCAGCAATCCTCCAAGAGACAGGGAGGCCTTGGGTTTTCTCTGCTGTGCCCTTGGTTGCCCTCGGTGGCTAGACCTTCACCCTCCTTGGGCTCCAGGAGGATTAAATCTGTCTGCAGGCGGCTGGAGGAAACCAGGTGATGGGCCTGGAGAGAAGGGGAAGGCATAACCAGGACACCTTTCTACCCAAACAGGTTTAAATGTCATCCAGGATTAAATGGGGGTGGGGGAAGAAAAGGGACTGGAGGCCAAGTCGGGCTGCCAGGGGAAGGTGATGGTCCAGAGGGTTTTCACATTACCTCACCCCTCCTGGGACCCAGGTGTCCTAGTTCCACACACATGCACATGCCCATAAGGTTCCAGGCTCCTCCCCCCCTTCAGAGAGGAGTGTGTGCGAGGGCTGAGGCTGAACCTGAACCTGGAGACGGAGGCGCCTGAGACAGAGACCTCACCCTAGCCTGGGTACAGGCATTGCTGCTGAAGCTGACTTTCCACTGGAGCTGCCAAGGGCTGGACTGTCCTTGAACCAAGGCATTCACGCGGAGACAGGTGACTGGCCAGAAACCAGGCACTTCTCTAGCTTCTTGCTCCTTATCCAGGACAGGGGTCTACCTTCCCCTGGGGATCCTCAGCAGTGCGACAAGCAGGAGCTACCTCCACACTCCCCATGCCACTGCCCCTCCCAGGCTGCCATCCATTGCCTGGCCTGGCCCCTCAATGCAGAGCCAGCTGACGGGGCGGCCTGGTGTCAGGTGTCTGGGGATGGACTCCGGATAGAGTTCCAGGAGTTCAAGCCCCTCCTTTCCCCATGGATGTGCTGGTCTTGGGCCCTCACAGCAGGAGTCTAGCTAGGAGGACTCAGAGCACAGAAGCATGCAGAATTGCCAGAGTCTAGGGTAGGGACATTTTTAGCAACTTCTGCAGCCTGAAATTGATCAAACATGCAATCAAGATGCATTGATAATTACTGGTGTTTGGAATGTGAAAGTTAGAAACAAAGAAGGATCGGTAGTTGGAAAATATGGTCTTGGTGACAGAAACAGTGCTGGAGATTGCATGATAGAATTTTGCAAGACCAACAACTTCTTCATTGCAAATACCTTTTTTCAACAACATAAATGGAGACTATACATGTGAACCTCGCCAGATGGAATATACAGGAATCAAATCGATTACATCTGTTGAAAGAGATGGAGAAGCTCAATATCATCAGTTAGAACAAGGCCAGGGGCAAACTGTGGAACAGACCATCGATTGCTCATATGCAAGTTCAAGTTGAAGCTGAAGAAAATGAGAACAAGTCCACAACAGCCAAAATACGACCATCTGAATTTAGAGACCATCTCAAGAATAGATTGACGCATTTAACACTAATGACCGAAGCCCAAGTTGTGGAATAACATCAAAGATATTGTGCATGAAGAATGCAAAACGTCATTAAAAAGAGAGGAAAGGAAAAAAAGACCAAAATGTATGTCAGAAGAGACTCTGAAACCTGCTCTTGAACATAGAATAGCTAAAGCAAATGGAAGAAATGATGAAGGAAAAGAGCTGAAAAGAAGATTTCAAAGGGCAGCTTGAGAAGGCAAAGTAAAGTATTATAATGAAATGTGCAAAGACCTGGAGTTAGAAAACCAGAAGGGAAGAACACGTTCAGCATTTCTCAAGCTGAAAGAACTGAAGAACTTCAAGCCTCAAGTTCCAATATTGAAGGATTCTACAGAGAAAATATTGAACAATGCAGAAAGCATCAAAAGATGGAAGGAATACACAGAGTCACCGTACCAAAAAGAACTGGTTGATGTTCAACCATTTCAGGAGGTAGCATACGATCAAGAACCAATGGTACTGAAGGAAAAAGTCCAAGCTGCACTGAAGGGAATGGCAAAAAACGGGTCCAGGAATTGACCAAATACTATTTGAGATGTTTCAAAAAATTGATGCAGTGCTGGAGGTCCTCACTCGTCTATGTCAAAAAATTTGGAAGATAGCTTCCTGGCCAATTGACTGGAAGAGATCCATATTTGCGCCCATTCCAAAGAAAGGTGAGCCAAAAGATTGCGGTAATTATTGAACAATATCATTAATATCTTGCACAAGTAAAATTGTGACGATTGTTCAAAAATGGCTACAGCTCAAGAGACAGAATGGGCCACATAAATCAGAGACTTCATCGGCCTGAGACCAGAAGAACTAGATGGTGCCCGGCTGCCACCAATGACTGCCCTGACAGGGAACACAACAGAGGGTCCCTGATGGAGCAGTAGAATGATGGGATGCAGAACTCAAATTCTAGTAAGAAGACCAGACTTAATGGTCTGAGACTGGAGGCACCCCAGACAGCATGGCCCCTGGACTCTCTATCACCCCAGAACTAAAACAATTTCCGAGGCCAACTCTTCAGACGGATTGGACTGGACTGTTGGACATAAAGTGATACTTGTGAAGAATGTGCCTCTTAGTCAAGTAGATACAAGGGACCAAAGGGGCAGCTTCTGTCCAGAGGTGAGATGGGAAGGCAGAATTAGGAGCTGGTTGAATGTTCATGAGGAATCAGGGGCAGAGGGGAGGAGTGTGCTGTTGCAGAATGGGGTGAGCGGTTGGGGTCTCATCACAGTGTATGTTAAAAAAAAATTCTGCACGGGAGACTAACTTGAAATGTAAACTTTATTTAATTACAACAATTAAAAAAAAAAAAATGGCTGCAGCAGTACATTGACAGAGAACTGCCAGAAGTTCAAGCCGGATTCAGAAGAGGACGTGGAACGAGGGATGTCATTGCTGATGTCAGATAGATCCTGACTGAAAGCAGAGAATACGAGACAATGTTAACCTGTGTTTTATTAACTACGCAAAGGCATTCAATTGTGTGTATCGTAACAAATTATGGATAACATTGCAAAGAATGGGAATTCCAGAACACTTAATTAAGCTCATGAGGAACCTGTACATAGACCAAGAGGCAGTCGTTTGAACAGAACAAGGGGATACTGCATGGTTTAAAATTAGGAAAAGTGTGCGTCAGGGTTGTATCCTTTCACCATACTTATTCAATCTGTATACTGAGCAGATAGTCTGAGAAGCTGGACTATATGAAGAAAACGGGGCATCAGGATCGGAGGAAGACTCGTTAACAACTTGCGATATGCAGATGGCACAACCTTGCTTGCTGAAAGTGAAGAGGACTTGAAACACTTTTTGATAAAGATGCAAGACTACAGCCTTCAGTATGGATTGCACCTCAACATAAAGAAAACAAAAATCGTCACAACTGGAGTCATAAGCAACATCATGGTAAACAGAGAAAAGATTGAAGTTGTCAAGGATTTCATTTTACTTGCCTCCACAATTAACACCCATGGAAACAGCAGTCAAGAAATCAAATGACATATTGTGTTGGGCAAATCTGCTACAAAAGACCTCTTTAAAGTATTAAAAAGCAAACATGTCACTTTGAGGACTAAGGTGTGCCTGATCCAAGCCACGGTATTTTCAATTGCCTCATATGCATGCGGAAGCTGGACAATGAATAAGGAAGACCGAAGAAGAATTGATGCCTTTGAATTATGGTGTTGGCAAAGAATATTGAATATACCATGGACTGCCAGAAGAAGGAAACAATCTGTCTTGGAAAAAGTACAGCCGGAACGCTCCTTAGAAGCAAGGATGGCAAGACTTCATCTCACACACTCTGGACACGTTATTAGGAGGGACTAGTCCCTGCAGAAGGACATCATGCTTGGTAAAGTAGAGGGTCAGTGAAAAAGAGGAAGACCCTCAATCAACAAGATGAACTGACACAGTGGCTTCAACAATGGGCTCAAGCATAATGATTGTGAGGATGGCGCAGGACCAGGCAGTGTTTCATTCTATTGTAGACGGGATCACTGTCAGTCAGAATGGATTCGATGGGACCTAACAACATTGCTACAGAAGCAGCACCCACAGTGTCTAAGGGCATGGACTTTGGAGTCAGAAAGAGCAGGGTCTGAATCCTGGCTCTGCTGTTACCAGCTGTATAACCTTGGACAACTGTCATCATCTCTTAAAGCCTCACTTGCCTCATCTGTAAAATGGGAATAATACCTGCATTAGGGTTGTGGTGAAGATTAAATGGGATGGAGTATGAAACAGTATTGCACATTTGGTAAGTTTGTATTATTGAACCCTTCCCTATGTCAGAGGTTTGAAAAGGTGGAGGCTTGGTCTGTGTTTCTGAGGAGCTCAGTCTCTCTGGGGAGTCAGGACCAGCTCTTAGCTGAAGCAGTCAGGCAAGGCGTCCTGGAGGAGGGGAAGCTGTGAGTTGAGACTTGTTCTCTGAGCCAATCCCTGGTGCCGAGGCAAGTCTGCTGGCGAGGGGGGGCGGGGAGCAGATACAGGTGGTCATGAGACAAAGATGTATTAGGGGCAGGCAGCGAGGTAGAGATGGGGGTCAATGGAGGGAGCAGCTAAACCTGAAGGGCTGGCCACTCCAGACCCTGTAATTCCACCCAAGTCTGGGTTATCTGCAGTAGTGAGGAGATAGGGTCTTGGTAATGGGAGGCAGGAATCTGATCTTCCCTGGCTTCTCTGTCCGCCCCCGCCCCCGCCTGGCCCTTTGGAGCTCTCCTTTTCAGCAGTCCTGCTGGGGCCCAGAGCCCATCTCTGCCACTGCAAACCTGTCTGCCTCCTTCTCCTGCCAGGCCTCGCAGGAAACGCTGGCTCTGCTACCGGAGCCCCAGGAGCCCCCATGAGTGCCGGTGAAGGGAGTGCTGGATAGCGAGGTCCCAGCTGGTCCAGGGGTGGGCACCCCACCATGCCGCCCATCCTCCAGCGCCTGCAGCAGGCCACCAAGATGATGAGCCGCAGGAAAATCCTCCTGCTGGTGCTAGGGTGCAGCACCATAAGCCTCCTCATCCACCAGGGGGCGCAACTCAGCTGGTAAGGGGGTGGGGCTTCGGGGAGGGGCGGTTCTCCAAGGGCTGGGCAGCTGGGTTAGGACCAGAACTGAGAGTTCTTCCCGTTCCTTCCAATTGCCAGAAGGTTCTTCCTTCTTCCCTCTATTCTGAAAGTGCTTTCCATACGGTCTCTTTAGGCCCACACAACCTCCCTGGGCAGAACTGGTCTTCACTGAAAGGGCTGAATGACTTGCTGAAAGTCATACAGCTCGTCAGTGACAGCTGGGACAGGAATACAGCCTGAATTAAGTACAGGATCCTTCCCACTGAATCACGTTCCCTATACTCTGCGTGCGCCCCTCCCCAATTTAGTCTCCAGGGTGAAAGGATTGCAACAACTTCTCACTGCTGCGGTCGTTCTGAGCAAACCACCTCACTCCTGAGCCGTTTCCTCACCCATAAAATAGGAATGATGCCACGTCTCACCCAGGCTAGTCACCCTGATACAGGATACCAGGTGATGATAATGGGAGCCCTGGCCCTGCTCCGACTCACTGTATGAACCCAACCAACACTGGCACCTCACCTCTCAGGGCCCCAACATTTCCATTTTTGCTGCCCCTGAGGACGGCTGGATGATTTGCTGGTCTAAGTCTAAAAAACTAAAGGCCTAAAGTCTAAAAGGACCTTACAAGTCACCTGCAATCCCAAATACCCTTGTTTCTGGAAAGAGGGCTAAGATCATTCTTTGAGTACTCTTTTATACACTAGCAAATCCCATAAGCCTTGAACAGTGCCTGGCGCATAGCAGATGCTCAAAAAAATACTTGGTGAATGAATGCCTGAGGCTCCAGAGGCCTTAACAGAATCATAACAAATGGGTTACCTGGAAGCCCAGTGCCTCCCATCTACAAGGTGAAAGAGTAAAACTGAGAAAGAAGACAGAAAGCAAGAGGATTAGCTGGCTTTATCCGAGTTGTTTTCAGACTCTGTAAGTGATTTATCTCTGCCTGGCCCTCAGTTTCTACATCTGTAAAGTGAGATTCCTCAAGGATCTGCAAGGGCCTTTGTCCCTTATATTAGTTATCTATTTCTGCCTTAACAAATTACCCCAGATCATAGCAGCTGCAAACAACAAACACTATGTGACAGTTTCTGTGGGTCAGGAGCCCAGGGGTAGCATGGCTGGGTGCATCTGGCTCAAGGTCTTTCATGCAGTTGCACTCAAGCTATCTGCTGGGGATGCAGTCTCATCTGAAGGCTTGATTGGAAGGGCTCTGCTTCCAGCTCACTCATGCTTGTTGGCAGGCTTCAGTCCTCCTAGCAGGCTGACGGACTGAGGGCCTCTCAATTCCTTGGGGGCTGTTGCCATCTGGCGTCTCTTCATAGTGATGCTGACAATACAGCAGCTTGGTTGCCCCAGTGTGAGCTGTCCTGGAGAGACACCACGGCAGATGCTTTTATAACGTAATTTCAGAAGTAACATCTGCCCTATACTACTACTTAGAAGTATCAACAAGTGCAGCCCACGCTCGGGGGGTGGGGGGAGTGAGTGGGAAATTGCACAAGGGTCTGCATACCAGGAGGGCAGCAGAGGATCTCTGGGGTCACCCTAGAGGCTGCCTGCCACACCCCTCCCCTGTTCTATGGACAAAATTTAGGATGAGCCACTCAGTGGCACATCCCCCCATCCTTAGGGAGGGGTAGAGGTGAGGCTGCACCCCTTTCACACCCTCCTCCCTGCACACTCCCTGGGCCCTGCAGGTACCCCAAGCTGTTCCCCCTGAGCTGCCCGCCTCTGCGAGAGTCACCACCGCGCCCGAAACACATGACCGTAGCCTTCCTGAAGACGCACAAGACGGCAGGCACGACTGTGCAGAACATCCTGTTCCGCTTCGCCGAGCGCCACAACCTGACGGTGGCCCTACCGCACCCAAGCTGTGAGCACCAGTTCTGCTACCCGCGCAACTTCTCGGCGAACTTCGTGCACCCGGCCACGCGGCCGCCGCACGTGCTGGCCAGCCACCTGCGCTTCGACCGCGCCGAGCTCGCGCGCCTCATGCCGCCTGGCACCGTCTATGTCACCATCCTGCGTGAGCCGGCCGCCATGTTCGAGTCGCTCTTCAGCTACTACAACCAGTATTGCCCGGCCTTCCGGCGCGTGCCCAACGCGTCGCTCGAGGCCTTCCTGCGCGCGCCCGAGGCCTACTACCGTGCGGGCGAGCACTTCGCCATGTTTGCGCACAACACGCTGGCCTACGATCTCGGCGGCGACAACGAGCGCAACCCGAGCGACGACGCCGCCTATTTGGCGGGCCTCATCCGCCAAGTGGAGGAGGTCTTCTCGCTCGTCATGATCGCCGAATACTTCGACGAGTCGCTCGTGCTGCTGCGGCGCCTGCTGGCCTGGGACCTGGACGACGTGCTCTACGCCAAGCTCAACGCGCGCGCCGCCAGCTCCCGTCTGGCCGCCATCCCCGCGGCGCTGGCGCGAGCCGCGCGCACCTGGAACGCCCTCGACGCCGGCCTCTACGACCACTTCAACGCCACCTTCTGGCGCCGCGTGGCTCGCGCCGGCCGCGCGTGCGTGGAGCGCGAGGCGCGGGAGTTGCGCGCGGCCCGCGAGCGCCTTCTTCGGCGCTGCTTCGGTGCGGAACCCGTGCTGCGGCCAGCCGCGCAGATCCGCACCAAGCAGCTGCAGCCGTGGCAGCCCAGCCGCAAGGTGGACATCATGGGCTACGACCTGCCCAGCGGCGGCGCGGGCTCCGCCACCGAAGCCTGCCTCAAACTGGCCATGCCCGAAGTGCAGTACTCCAACTATCTACTGCGCAAGCAGAAGCGCCGGGGCACTGCGCGGGTCCGGCCAGAGCCCGTGCTGGACAATCCCCCGCCTCGGCCCATCCGAGCGCTGCCCCGCGTCCCCCAGGGCCCTTGAGCTCTGCCTGCCTCCGGAGGCCGGGGCCTGCCCTGCCTTGCCAGGATCCATCCTCGGGCTGCCTCTGTGCCTGCCCCATCACAGCCCTTTCTTAAGGGGCTTGATCCCCCGCACCAAATTTGGGGGACGCCTCGCAAACTGAGCCCACTTCCCTGGGGTGGGCTGAACCCTGCCTTTGGGGAGGGTGCTGGTAGGCCCGATCGAGCCCCGGGCCACCCTCTCTTCCTTCCCAAATGGTTGGTGACTTTGTCAAGAGATCTGAGGCCTGTCTAGGACTGACCACCGTGCTTTTTTCTGGGGTCTGAGCTCCCCACCAATCTGGGTCTTACCTGGACCTGGAAGGGGAAGCTGAGCCTCACCTGGCTTTTCCAAATGGAGGAGCCCAGGCCCCAGACAGGAGCTGAGCCCTGGGGAATGCTGCCCTAGCTGTCAGCCTCCCGGCTCTTGCCCTTCCTCCAGGGCTACAGGGGCCCCCACACTGTCTTCCAGGTTCTACCCTCCCCACAGACCTGAGCTGCTCCCAGACTCTTAGAACAAAGCGTTCTTGGGTCGGGCCTTTTGTTTGTTTGGTTTTTCCTTTTGTAATAAAATACCTTGGAAACGTGCTAGTTTGTATGTCAGCCATGGGAAGCCAGATTCCCTGCGTGTGAGGAGGAGGCAAGTGCCAGGAAGAGCTGTGGCTGTGCCCACGGACAGGACTCCCATCAGCTCCCCTGCTGCTCCTCCCAGAGGCCCACAGCCCTCACCAGCCCTTTGATCACAACACGAACTGGCCCCCTCAGCCCCATGTGATTTTCGTTTAGAAACTCTGGAAAAGGAACGGTCTCCTTTTCGTTCAATTCGGCAACGTTTATCGAGTTCGTCTCTGTCACTCGGGGACACAGGTAAACAAGGCAGTAAGGCCTTTACCCTCATGGAGCTGATGGGGAGCAAGGCCTGTCAACAGACAGAAAGGAGGAGGTTAGAGCAAAACTGTGTCTCCTTTGCTGGAAGGAGGATCAGAACTCAGAATTTTATCTGCTGTAAAGTTGGTGAAAGGAGCCTTAGTGGCGCAGTTGTTAGGCACTCAGTTGCTAGCCCAAAGGTCAGTGGTTTGAAGCCTCCAGCCACCTCATGGGAGAAACATGTGGCAGGCTGCTTCCATAAAGATCTGCAGCCTTGGAAACTCTGTGGGGCAGCTCTACTCTGTCCTATAGGGTGGCTATGAATCAGAATCTAGTTGCTGATTCTACCACTGGCCTGCCTTCCCCACAAGGAGAAGATGGCTCTGACTCAGATAAGGACCAATCCCTCCCCCAAATTCCTGTAACACAGCAAGATACCCAGCACTTTCCAATGAAGCCTTCCTTTGAAGACCAGCAGCGAATCAGGGATTTTTCTGATACTTTCTTCAAAACTACATTGATATATCTGGACAAGGAATAAAAACATGAGCTCGTGTGGTTGACTATTTGCTAGCGACTGTGTAAGGACCGTACATATACCTGTGAGATAGGTATCATTTTACAGGTGAGGGGACTGGAACGGTGACGTGAAGCTCAGGGTCACATAGCTAGAAGGTGGCCATTAGGATTTGAACCCAGATAGTGCAGCTTCGAGTCTGTGCTCTTAAGTAGTATGCATATTTGAACAGAGAGGCTCACACGCCCCAGGCTCGGCTAACTCCCAGGACCTTTCCCCCAAAAGAATGTAGAAGGAAGAAACCAAGACATTGCCGTTGGCTTATGTTTATCTTATTTTTCACAGAGACAATGGATGACCTGTTTGGACAACGGGGATTGCAGCAGTAGGCGGGCAGGTCGTGTGGCACTCCCCGGGCTTGGAAATGGGCTGTTTGTGTGGTGCCTTGTTTATTCCCAGTAGGGCTCTGGAAAAGGCAAAGGTAGACACCAAAGCCATAAGCAGGTCTCTGGCATTAAGTAGCAGTGAAGAATCATACCAGGCTTGAAGTTGTCTAGCCAAAGACATGTGTCCTCTGGCCCCCAGGCCCCCAGGCCAAGAAGGTATCTGCCCGCCACTGTCCCCCTCTCTCCCTCTCTCTAGTCCTGGCCTCTGGCCATACGTCTGCCTAAAACATCCCTCCCCCTGCCCTGGATCCTCCCGGAAAAATCAGAGACGCCCTTAAGATCCACCTGTATAGACCTCACCTGCCTTCCCTGACTCCCAGGCAGCCGGCCTTCCTGTACAAGCCTCACCCCACTTCAGCCGACAGCCCAGCTCTGAACTCAGAATCATCAGACACTAGAAGGGGATTTTTCTATTTGACAGGGGCAAGGGCAGGACTTAGGAAACATCAAATCAAATATTGTCTTTTAGAGGCCAAGGAACTCTGGTCCAAACATCTCCAGCCTTATCCACAACCCCAGGAACAGGTCCCAGCCCCTGTGACCCAAGCCCCCTGCAAGGAAGCCCTTTCCATCAGCACACAAGTGGTGCTGCCCACCCTGCATGGCTCCAGAGCTTTAGCAGTGGGTGGACGTGTTCCCTGCCTTGAGGAGCTCATGCTACGGTCCGGGGCAGACGTGTGAGCAACAACCTGAATGGCAATGACATGATGGAGGTGACTTTGCCTAGTAATTGACATCAGTGCTTTGGCATTCAAACCCTGGAGCTGCCACCTACTGATTACATGATCTTAGACTTAGCACCTGAGCCTCTGTTCCCCTCATGGGTTTTGTGAAGGTGTTTGGGGTCAGGCACTCAGCACAGTGCCGGGCACGTGGAACTGCTCCTGGTGTGGCAGCTCTGGTTTAGTCAGCCTCCTCCAGGGAAGTGGCCTGCAGGTTGTCGATGACATAGGGTGGCCCATTGTCTTAGTCATCTAGTGCTGCTATAACAGATAAACCACAAGTGGATGGCTTTAACAAAGAGAAATTTATTTTCCCACAATCTGGTAGGCTAGAAGTCCAAATTCAGGGTGTCAACTCCAGGGGAAGGCTTTCTCTCTCTGTTGGCTCCAGAGGAAGGTCCTCGTCATCATTAGTCTTTCCCTGGACTAGGAGCTTCTCTGTACAGGAACCTCAGGTCCAAAGGACATGCTGTGCTCCTGGTGCTTCTTTCTTGGTGGTATGAGGTCCCCACCTCTCTGCTTGCTTCCCTTTCCTTTTATCTCTTGTAAGATAAAACGTGGTACAGGCCACACCCCAAGGAAACTCCCTTTACATTGAATTAAGGATGCGACCTTAGTAAGGGTGTTAAAATCCCACCCTGATCCTCTTTAACATAAAATTGCAGTCACAAAATGGAGGCCAACCACACAATACTGGGAATCATGGCCCAGCCAAATTGATACACACATTTTTAGGGGGACATAATTCAATCCATGACACCCATCTATCTCAAGAGTTTTCCAGCAGAGGGAAGCAAGTATTTGGAGGGAGGGTGCCTTTTTCTACTTTGCCCAAAGGCCAGCAAATTTATAAATCAATTATAAAAATTGATTTTTATAATTATAGAATGATGTGCAAAGTGTGGAGGCAGCTAAGGGGAGGACAGGAGTGTCTGCCTGAGAGGCGAGGAGGGGCTCCCTGGGGCAAGGGTGGGGGAGGGTGCTCCTGAGGGTGCCAAGGCACCTGTAATGGTTAAGATTGTGTGTCAACTTGGCTGGGCCATGATTCTCAGTGTTTATATGTGATCACTCCCACGATGGAATCTGCTGTGAGTAGCCAATCAGTGGAAACGGAGTTTCCTTGGGTGTGTGGTCTGCATCTGAATATAAGCAGACGTTCTGGCTTATTTGCTCACTCTGGATCCTGCAGCCATGTCCTGTTCATCTGACCTCTGGTTCTTGGGACTTGAGCTATCTGCTTATCTGCCGATCTTGGGATTCGTCAATCTTCACAGCCTGGGAGTGGGAGCCCTGCTCTCTGACCTGCCGATCTTGGGTTTGCCAGCCTCCGCGGCTACATGAATTGAGAGAAGCCTCTATCCTAATCCACGGACTTGGGACGTTCCAGCCTCTACAATCACGTGAGCCATTTCCTTGATATAAATCTTTTCCTGTATATATTTGGAAATCCTGGTGACATAGTGGTTAAGAGCTATAGCTGCTAACCAAAAGGTCAGCAGTTCAAATCCACCAGGCACTCCTTAAAAACCCTATGGGGCAGTTCTACTCTGTCCTATGGGGTTGCTATGAGTTGGAATCAACTTGACGGCAACAGGTTTGGGGTTTTCTGGGTTTTATATATATATTTATATGCTTTACTGGTTTTGCTCCTTTAGAGAACACAGCCCAAGACAGCACCCATGTGAGAATGCCTGGCATTTGTGAGATGCGACAGACTGGGTGATAGATGTGGAGACAAGTACTCCAGTGCCAGGTGATGACCAGCAGGGGAGGCGAGCTGCCCCCTGCACAGAGGCGGACCACTGTCTGTGCCCCTCTGTAGCCCATTCCCGGCACAGCAGCATGGAGCACCCGATGGGGACCTCTGTTGTAGCTGGCGGCGAGTCACTGAGCTAGGCAGCACAGAGGCCTTTAATAAGGAAGTGCAAACGCTGCTGGGAGAAGGCATATTGATAACAGAGCTAAGAGCGAGCATTTACTGAGCGCCTACTGTGTGCCCAGCACTCTCCTCAGTGCGTTATGTATTTCAACGTCCTTGATTCTCACAACAGCCCTGGGAGGTTGGTGTTATTCTTGTCCCCGTTCTATAGAAGAGGAAATAGGTCCACCCAGCTGAAAGAGGCTGAGCTAAGGCAGAAACCAGAGGGCTGTGACCCCAGAGACCCAGCTCTGCCATCAGAGTACACAGGCCTCCCCCTCAAGCACATCCCCAGTGGTCCCGCAACCTCCTTATTAAAAGGCCGTTTATAAAAGCCTCCTTGGAGCAGACTGGGAGGGAGGTGCCGAGAGCCAAGGTAAGGAAGGGCACAGAATGAGTGTCTTAGTTATCTAGTGCTGCTGTAACAGAAATATCACAAGTGGGTGACTTTAACAAACAGAAATTTATTTTCTCAAAGATTAGGAGGCTACAAGTCCGAATTCAGGGCACCAGCTCTAGGGGAGGGCTTTCTCTCTGTCGGCTCTGGGGGAAGGTCTTTGTCTCTTTTTAGCTTTTGCTCCACGGTTCCTTGGCTGTCTTCTTGTGGCCTGTTTCTGCCCATTTGTCCTTCCTTGCTTCTGTGCCTAAAGTGCTCCTTTTATGTCTCAAAATTGGCTTAAGATACAACCTACACTGATATAACCTCATTAACATAACACAGAAAACTCTATTCCCAGATGGGATTATATCCCCATGTATGTTGTTATGTGTTGATTGCTACTCATAGCGACCCTATAGGACAGAGTAGAACTGTCCCATAGAGTTTCCTAGGCTGTGTAAGATGTGGCAGTCTACTTCTGTAAAGATTTACAGCCTGGGAAACCCTAAGGGTCAGTTCTACTCCGTCTTGTAGGTTAGCTGTGAGCTGGAATAGACTCAACAGCAATGGATTTTATTAACGAAACAAAACTAACAAACCACCAATAATGCTGCGGGCTTTTTTGTTTCTTTTTGAATCACAGTCTCTTTCAGAACTCCTGGCCTAGAAACACCTTGAGGAATTCTATAGTCCCACAGGACCCCCAGTTGAAAGCCCTGCCCTAGGGTGTTGACCCTGCCTGCTTGCCATAGCCCTGCTCAGCCCACAGGAAGGGGGAAAACGGAGCTTCGCATGCCCAGTACTTTAAACCCAAGACCCATAATTGCTTCTGTTCACACCTTCAGGCCACACCTATATGTAAGGTACACTGGGAAATGTAATCTCCAGCTGGGAGCCCATGTGCCCAGGAAGAAAAAGAGGACAGATTTCTGGACTACTAGAAATCCTACCACAAACTGCCTTCTTGTCTGCTGCTGGCAACAGACAGTGAGCTGCTTGAGGGCAGAGACCAGGGCTCTTTCATCACTGGACCCTGGTGTCCAATGCCAGTCTAGGCCCTGGCTCTGAGCAAGCACTCAAGAAGCAGCTGTAGTCAACAGAGTGACCGAGAAGCTTCCAGAAGAGCTGCTCTGTGCACGAAGGGAGCCAGTGTCCAGGAAAACATTGGCAGTGGACTTCAGGAAGGACAGCATGGTGGTTAAGGGTACAGACTTTGGAGTTAGTACTGATTTACCCTCTCTGAGCTGCAGCACCTTCATCTGTAAAATGGGGTTATTGTGATGATTAAAGCAAATGTGTGTAAAATGCCTGGCACTGTGCCTGGCATATAGTAGGTTCCCAATGAATGATGACTGATTGTTTGATTTTAGTAATAACTCAAGAGGGGAGTTTCCATCACTGTCAATGATCAAAGAGACAATAATAATAACAATTAACATTTACTATGCTGTTACTCACAGGAGAAAGATGTGGCAGTCTGCTTCCGTAAAGATTTACAGCCTTGGAAACTCTATGGGGCAGTTCTACTCTGTCCTATAGGACCACTGTGAGTCGGAATCAACTTGACAGCAATGGGTTTGGTTTTGGTTTGGTATGCTGTTACTCCAATTTTCCTGGATTCATACTTCGTGTGTTCCACATTCTGATTACTAATGAACGTTTGCTGCTATTACTTCTCACTTTGAGTTGTGCCACATCAGAAAACGAAGGCTGGTCCCGAAGGCTTTATTGCAGCTGCTTTATTAAGGTTGATTCTACTTGAGAAAGCAGCTCTTCCCCAGTCATATTCTGAGTGCCTTCGAACCTTGAGGGCTCATCTTCCAGCGCTATATTGGACAGTATTCTGTTGTGGCCCATACAGTTTTTTTTTGGCTAATTTTTGGAAGTAGATCGCCAGGCCTCTCTTCCTAGTCTGCCTTAGTCTGGAAGCTCTGCTGAAATCTGTCCACCATGGGTGACCCTGCTAGTATCTGAAATATTGGTGGCATACCTCCCACCATCATAGCAACACATAAGCCATCACAGTATGACAAACTGACAGATAGGTAGGAAACCCTTAATGAGATAGATTGACCCAACAGTCACAACCACGGACTCAAACGTATCAATGATCACGAAGATTGTACAGCACTGGGCAATATTTCATTCTGTTATACATAAGGTCACCATGAGTCAGAGCAAACTCAATGGCAACAATAACGACAACATGCTCTTACTAAAAGCTTTGCATATTTGAACTCTTTTGATCCTATGAGGTAGGTGTTATTACTCCCATTTTACAAAAGAAGGAATTGATGCATGGAAAGATGAAGCAACCAGACCAAGGTCATACACCTGTTTATGGTAGAGGCAGTTAGTCTTAACTCCAGAGCCAACTGGTATCCAGGTGGGACTGGGGCTTGACCACTTGGTTTCTTGAAGTTCTTTCCAACAACAGGACTAAAGCAACTGATGGGAGCCCATGTTGTCATCCTGGACTTCTTCACCCAGCTTTGCCATTGACCCACGTTTGACACCTTGGGCCAGTCCTTTCCCTTTTTTTTTGGCCTCAATTTCCTCATTTTACAATGAAAGGGTTAGACACAATGATCCTTGATTCTGACTGTAGCCCAGGAAGCATTTGGGAATTAGTCTTGGGAGGGGTCTTGCTGGTGACATCATAGAGGGGAGAGTTCCGTGAGAATAGTCAGCCCTTCCTAGAAGCCCCAGTGCCACAGTTTGCATTGAGCTCAGCTTAGGTGAGAAGGGAGATCCAGGAAGGGGCCTGCTGGGCCCAGGTCTTGAGCTCTCTTTGTCCCAGGGATCCCGGCATAGTTATGGATCAACACTCGATGTCCGAAAAATCTCAAAATGAGACAGACATCACTAGCTTGGATGTAGTCCCTGGCCCCCGCTCATCATCCCCACACCACAGGCCAGGCCATGGTGGAGTCCGCCACCATCGTGAGTCCCGTCACCATGGTGTGTCCCATCATCATGGTGAATACACCCACCGTGGTGAGTTCCCTGATTTGCATGACAATGCCTTCTCCCGCCACTCCCACCACCATGATGAGGCCCGCCATCATGGCAGACCCTATCACCCCTATGGTGGGGTCCATCAGCCCCATGACAAAGTCCAATCCCTTAACCCAAATCCCTCCCATAGCCTTTTTTCCTCCCCCCATTCCTATGGTGAGGACCACTCCCATCACACTGATAGTGAGTACCACCATGGCAACAGGATATATCACTACAGTGAGCCCCACTCCCATGGTGAGTCCCACCACCACAGTGGGTCCCACCACCACAGTGGGCCCCACCACCGCAGTGGGTCCTACCACCACAGTGGGTCCCACCATCATAGTGGGTCCCACTACCATGGTGAGAACTTATCCCACCACCCCCATGGTGGATACTACCACCATGGTAGGCTTCATCGCCACAGTGAGGCCTATCGTCATGGTGAGGCCCACCATGGTGAGACACATCACCAAGACGAGCCTTACCACTCTGAAGAGTCCAACTACTCTAGTGGCCCCCACCACCGTAGTAGGTTCCATCACCATGAAGGCTACCACCATGGAGGGCCTTCTCACCATGAAGAGGCCTATTCCCACCAATCCAATGAGGGGTCCTACTACAGTGGCTTGCCTCACCCCCATGGTGAGCACTACCCTGGGGAGTACCACCATGGCGAGCGTCCCCACCATGGTGAGCATCACCACCGTGGTGAGCATTTCTACCATGGAGGGCACCACCATGGACAGCACCACCACAGCGAGCTTCCTGGCAGCGAGTGTCTCCGTAGTGTTCATCCTTCCATGGATTTCCCCAATGAGCAGCGTTACGGGGAGTACCATCGTGATGCCTCCCAATCATTTGGCCCACACTCATCCCACAGCATGACCATTCGCTCCATCAGCTCTGTAACAGCCCTCCACTACAGTATGCCACACAGTGAGGGCTCAGACCACTCTCAGTCCCACAGTGCAGTTCACTCAAGAGGCTTTCAGGCCTCCAGCAAAGTCTATCCCCAGGCCACTTCCACCTCAGAAATGGAAAACTGGTCCAAAGATGAGCAATTTCAGAAGCAAAAAAGTAAGTCTTTACCCAGCCCTCTCCCCATCCTAAATTCCGCTGCCTGGCGGACCGAACCCAGGTCCTTCAGCAGATCATACGTATTCCATTGGCCATTCACTTACATGACTGTTCATTGCCCCATCTTTTATTCCTTGAAATACGTACCTTCCAAGCTGTAAGTTGTTTGTTCACTCACTCACTGCTTTATTCATTCACACATTCATTTCTCAAATATTTGCTGTTATCTAATGTAGGTGTCTGGCCTGCCTGGGCATTGGCAGCCTAGGGCAGGATCTGATACAATCCCTGCCCTCTAGGGGACTCCAAGGCTGGGGAGTGGTCACTTAAATAACCAATCACAGACCATCCAGTGATGGGGGCCTGTCCACTTCCTTTTCAGAGCATTTGCCACGGCAGATCTATCTGTCCATATTTCCCCTCTCAACTGTAAGCTTCTTGAGGACAGGGAATGGGAACTAGTGACTGAATGAGGGCCTTGTACGTGAAGGCAGGGAGGGACCTTGGCTTTGAACTCACAAGCCCCCACACTTGGCTCCTAGTAGGAGTTCAGTAAACATGGCAACAGTCTTATGACCAAGGAGCTGTGGGAGCACAGAGGGGGTGAGTGTCTAATGAATGGGGGTAGGGAAGACAGACACTGTCTTTAAGGGAGAAGGAGAGCCTCCCAGGAGAATGGGTGTGAGGAGGAGTGGACTTTGCATGCAGAGGTTGCAGTCAGAGCAAAGAAGGGCATGGCGTGTGAGAGCATGAGCCCTCAAGAGCGGCTCGAGCAGACTCCAAATCCCAAACAGACTGGTGCCTGCCATGGAGTGGGTCAGGCCTGTGGCAGCAGCACAGAACTAGCATTGGGGCCCCTCAGTGAGTGAGAGAGGAAAAGGCAGGCAGGCAGGCATGAGCGCTGACCCAGCCTGCCAGGGTGCCTGGGACCCCGCCCACCGCCTGCACTGACTCTCAAGGCCCTCACAGCTGCCCGGATCCAGCGCACTCACAAGAGACTGCACACTGGGGACCTGTCCCATCGGCTGTGTGAAAAGTTAAGCTTCTTCATTCAGTGGCTCCGGGAAAGGCTCCAGTACCTGATCAACTCCCTGGCCTTCGAAGCCTTCATCTTCCTGATCATCTGCCTCAACACCATCATGCTGGTGGTCCAGACCTTTGCTGAAGTGGAGGTCCGGGGCGGTAAGAACCAAGTAGTGAGCCTTGGTCACGTGGAGGTCACGCACACTGTTTGAGGGCCTTCTATGGGCCTGACCCAATGCTGGGAGATTTACATACCTTATATCACTTGCTCTTCACCCCTGGGAAGTAGATGGCATCGCCCCTGTGAGAGATGAGGCTCAGCAAGCTATCCCAGGGGTCAAACAGCCAGCCACAGACAGACCAGCTAAGCTGGAGAATGGGCTGTTCATGGCTATGGCCACCAGGTGGCGCATCAGCTCTAAATATGCTGCTTTGGGTGGGAAGTGTACCCAGATTCCAGGGTCTGCGGAGTAACCAGGTGACCCTGAGGACTCCCTGGAGAAGGGAGAGTGGAAAGCCTGAGCAGGGGTAGCCTCTAAAGCCCCGTGGAACTGGGTGAAAGAAAGGACCTGCCACAGGGCACAGAAACTGAGGAGGGGTAATAACAATAAATAATAATGGCGGATGTTTCTTGCGTGCTCAGTGTCAGGCTCTGTTCTAAGCGCTGTGTTAAATTCATTTAATGCTCACAATAACCCTATGAGGCAGACGGTTATTATCCTTGTTTTACAGTCAAGGAAACTGAGGCACACAGGCCTGCAGGGCAGAGCCAGAGAGAACCTAGGTGTTTTGGATGAGGGGGAGGGCGAGGTGCTGCAGGCGCTGGTAACAGTCCTGAGTGAGCTCTGATATCCCTGCAGAGTGGTACTTCATGGCCATGGACTCCATCTTCTTGTGCATTTACATAGTGGAAGCCGTGCTGAAGATCATGGCCCTGGGCTTCAAGTATTTTTCTGATGCTTGGAACAATCTAGGTGGGTGAGGATGGGGCCAGTGTGTGTGTGTGTGTGTGTGTGTGTGTGTGTGTGTGTGTGTGTGTGTGTGTGTGTGTGTGTGTGTGTGTGTGTGTGTGTGTGTAGTGGGAGCTACTGGGCTGCCTGAAGGAGGCTGAGGACACAGAGGGGCAGGGGTAGGGGTGTTGCCGTGGGGAGTGCTGGGGGTATGAGCTAAGGGCCAGTCAGACACCCGTGTCCACAGACTTCTTCATCATGGTCATGGCCGTGCTGGACTTCCTGCTCGTGCAGCTCAACTCCTCCTTCTCACGCTCCGTCTATAAACAAAGCATCTATCGGGTCCTCAAGGTCTTCAAGAGCCTGCGTGCCCTGAGAGCCCTCCGGGTCCTGCTGAGGTTCAGGTCAGCGTGGTCACAGCTGCCCACCCACTGCGGGGACTCCGAAGGAGGAGGGGACGGAGGCCTGGGCTCCCAGAGAATCCACTGTGATCTGCTCAAGGGACAGGGGAGGGGAGGCAGTAGACCCCAGCCCACTTCTGACATGCCTCCCGCCCTCTGCTGGGAGCAGTTTCTCCATTTTCCCCGGAGGGGCCAACTCTCACCCAAGTTACTAACAAATCAGGAATCTCCTGCCTTCAGGGTCAGCTCTGGCTGTGGGCACAGGCTCCCCCAGCTAGGCCCACCCCAGCCCTGCTCAGTCAGCTGCCCTCTCGACCTCTGCCCACAGCATCCTCACCAGCCTCCAGGAAGTGACCGGGACGCTGGCCCGGTCCCTGCCGTCCATCACGGCCATCCTCATTCTTATGTTCACCTGCCTCTGTATCCTGTGCTGTGGGGGCTGGGGCAGAGACAAGCAGTGCCGGCAGGGAGGGGGCACCGTGGCGGGGGACAGGACTGTGTTGGCCCTGAACAGGCAGTCCTCTTCTCCGTGGTGCTCCGGGCACTCTTCCGCCAATCGGATCCCAAACGCTTCCGGAACATCTTCACCACCATCTTCACGCTCTTCACCATGCTCACCCTGGACGACTGGTCCCTCATCTATCTGGACAGCCGGGCCCAAGGCAGGGCAGCCTCGGGCTGGGTGGAGGGCAGGGTCTGGCCATTCAAGGCTGGTGGGCAGACCCTGAGGGCTCAGTTACACTGTCTGTCAAGTGGGGCTTATGATGCCTGCTGGCAGGGGTGTGGGGAGGCAGGCTGGGAGCTCACAGTTGGAACGACCCCTCTCTCCCAGGCGCCTGGTACATCATTCCCATTCTCATGATTTACATCATCATCCAATACTTCATCTTCCTCAAGTGAGAGCCTCCCCAACGCTGTGTTCAGCTTCATTTCTCCTCTCTCACCCTCGGGCAACCCCACCCCCAGCCCTATCACCAGGGGACGGGCACAGCTTCTCCTAGGTCCCCTCCTTGAGAGTGCCTTCTGCCCCCAGCCTGGTGATTGCTGTCCTGGTGGATAACTTCCAGATGGCCCTGCTCAAAGGCCTGGAGAAAGTGAAGCAGGAGGTTCGGAGTCGGGTGGGGCAGGTGGATGAGATCAGGGAAACACCAGGACAGCTGTGTCCCGAAGGGAAGGGAAGAGGGAGCTCCAGGGATGGGCGGGTGTGGGAGCTCGGCCAGATGAAGGCCTCTTCTTCCTAGAGGGCCGCCCGGATCCACGAAAAGCTGCTGGACGACTCGCTGACAGAACTCAGCAAAGCAGGTGCCGCCCTGCCTGCCCTGGCCCTATCTGCTGACCTCAGGGTGGGCTGCTCTCTCCCTTCACCTCCTCTCCTCCCACAGCCAGACAGAGAATTCCAGCCTCAGTGTTAGCACTTTAGAATCTGAGACTCGGGAGATCTTTCTGTGGATAGGACTTTGATCCCAAGGGCTCTGAGACAATCCTCAAAAAGCCAAGTAAACTAACAATCAATTCTTGAAAGACCCATTCGCAAAGCAACTGATTAGCCACACAATCCTGCACCAAACACTTGTTTCCGTCAACAGTTTATAGCAATAGGTCTTACATGGGATGGTTTCAACTGCCATTGATGGTTTTGTCCACGTGTTATACACACTTGTCTAAATTTATTTGACATGGATTGCAAGTCTACAAAAATGATGTTTCTTATGCATCTACAAGTTCCTCAGAACTTCAGAATCCCACCCTTATGGTCACCAACAGTTCTCTGGGGTCACTGGTCCCTCACCACATTTTCCATCATGGACACTCAGTGCCAAATGGCTTAAGCAAAAAAGGCAGTCTATTGGCTCACATTACTTGGCAAGTGGGGGGCTATGTGGACCTTCAGGAATAGCTGGATCCAGGACTCAAATGATGATTGAGGCTTGTTCTCCTTCCATATCTCTGCTCTGTAACTCTGTGTGGTTTTGTTCCCTGGGTAGCTCTTCCTTTGTGGTGGCAAAATGGCCACCTGCAACTCTAGTCCCAAATCCTCACAGATCATCCATCCCTAGGAGTCCCTGGGTGGTGCAAATGGTTAAGCGCTCAACTACTAACCAAAAGTTTGGCTGTTTGAATTCACCCAAAGGCATCTTGGAAGAAAGTCCCGGAGATCTACTTGCAAAGGATCACAGCCATTGAAAACCCCATAGAGTGCAGTTGTACTCTGGAACACATGGGGTTGCCCTGAATTAGAATCAACTCAAGGACAACTGGTTTTAGCACCCCGAGTCCCAGAAAGGAGTCTCCTTTGCTCTGAACTACTTGTCCATTTCTGAAGCAGTCACTGTAGCCAGAAGGATAGGCTGCTCTGATTGGCCAGCCCTAAGTCACATGTCCTTGGAGCTGGGGGTGAGGTCAACCTCAGCTAGACAACATGGAGGGGTGGTTCCTCAGGGAAATTGGGGTGCTTTTATCAGAAGAAGGAGGAATGGATACTGGACAGGCAAAGAAACAAAACTGCCCTACACTATACACCCAGAGAAGTAGTCTCTTTGGGGCATCCTGGACAGAAACTCTTTTAGCCCCTGAGTATCTCTATGACTACGGGGTTTCCCCTTGCCTCCTTTGCCCTCCACCCCCCTCTCTGAATCCAGGCATCTTCTTGACCCTCATCCGTCTTCCTCTAAATCCAGAGGCTGAAGAGAAGGTGAGTGAAGAGACCATGCGTAAGCAGCTGATCGAGAAGAAATTTGGGAACATGACTGAGAAGTAAGGAGATGCAAAGGGAGGGGGAGGCCTCAGGTCTGTGGGGAGAGGTCTGGAGGCCTGATCCAGGGGTGGGAAGGGAAGGGCATTGCCGGCCTCTCTGGAAGGGGTATGGGTCACCACGAGGATACCATGATGGCTCCTGCATAGCCAGGACCCATCACCACCTGAAGAGTCCCATTAGCAGTGTCTACAAGGGCCAGGAGAGCTCCTCTGAGGCCAAGGGCCAAGGCCAAGGTTGCCTCACTTCTGGGTTCACTCTCCTGTCCATTCTCCATGCTCCTTGGCCACGGCTGAGGATGGAAGTCTCTAGGACTCTAGTGCTTTCCTTGGTGGTTTCTTGGCTTCCAGTCTCTTCCCCACTGGTCCATCTCCACTGGGAGAGTTGTTGTTGTTAGGTGCCATCAAGTCAGTTCTGACTCACAGCAACCCCATGTACGATAGAACCAAACATCATCTGATCTTGTGCCATCCTCACAATCATTGCTATGTTTGAGCCCATTGTTGCAACCACTGTGTCAATCCATCTTGTTGAGGGTCTTCCTTTTTCCACTGACCCTCTACTTTACCAAGCATGATATCCTTCTCCAGAGAAGTCTTGCATCCTCACTTCTAAGGAGCATTCTAGCTGTACTTCTTCCAAGACAGATTTGTTCGTTCTTTTGGCAGTCCATGGTATATTCAATATTCTTCGCCAACACCATAATTCAAAGGCATCGATTCTTCTTCAGTCTTCATTATTTGTTGTCCAACTTTCAAAGGCATCTGAGGCAATTAGAAATACCGTGGCTTGGATCAGGATCTCCTTAGTCCTCAAAGTGATGTCTTTGCTTTTTAACACTTTAAAGAGGTCTTTTGCAGCAGATCTGCCCAATGCAATAGGTCATTTGATTTCCTGACTGATGGTTCCACGTGCGTTGATTGTGGATCCAAGTAAAATGAAATCCTTGACAACTTCAATCTTTTCTCCATGTTGCTTATCGGTCCAGTTGTGAGGATTTTTTTTTATGTTGAGGTGTAATCCATACAGAAGGCTGTAGTCTTCGATCTTCATTAGTAAGTGGTTTCAGCAAGCAAGTTGTATTATCTGCATATTGCATGTTGTTAATGAGTCTTCCTCCAATCCTGATGCCACATTCTTCTTTACGTAGTCCAGCTTCTTGAATTATTTGCTCAGCATACAGATTGAATAAGTATGATGAAAGGATACAACTCTGATGCACACCTTTCCTGATTTTAAACCACACAGTATCCCCTTGTGCTGTACAGGTTCCTCATGAGCACAAGGGAGTGTTCTGGAATTCCCATTTTCTGCAATGTTATATATAATTTGTTATGATTCACACAGTCAAATGCCGTTGCATAGTCAATAAAACAAAAGTGCACATCTTTCTGGTATTCTCTGCTCTCAGCCAAGATCCATCTGACATCAGCAATGATATCCCTCATCCCACGTCCTCTTCTGATCCCAGCTTGAATTTCTGGCAGTTCTCTGCTGTTCATAAGGTTTTCACTGGCCGGTATTTTTTAGAAGTAGATTGCCAGGTCCTTCTTCCTAGTCTGTCTTAGCCTAGAAGCTCCACAGAAACCTGTCTACCATGAGTGACCCTGCCGGTATTTGAAATACTGGTGGCAGAGCTTCCAGCATCACAGTAACATGCAAGTCATCATAGTACGACAAACTGACAGACTAGTGGTGTCCCGGCAGAGTAGACCATATGACTCAAAATGGCCAATACCAGTCCGTTTCTGCTCAATGGGAGTGGGCTTTGTTCAATGCATAAAACCCTACCACGGCTCCTGCCACCCTTAAATAAGGTCCAAGTTCCTTGCTTTGACCTTTTCTGAGGGACTCCACCTTTGAGTCATCCAGTGTCTGAAATATCCTTCCCCAAGGCGCACCCCTAGTCTTCCAGTTATGCTCCCTGCTGAAGCCCAAATGACACTTCCTCTGGAAGCCTTTCTCAGTCCCCAATACTGGGTGAGCTTTTCCTCCTCTGGACCCCTCTGCACCCTGTATTTATACTTATCACAGGGTATTGGTTTGCTTCTCTGGCTCTGCCACAGATTGAGCTTCTTGAGGGCAAGCGCTTTGTATTGTTCACCTCTATCCTCAGAGCACCTTACAGCATTGGGTGCTTTCAGTGTTAATTGATGGATGGATTGATAAGGCAGACAGACTGATGAATGGGTTGATGAATGGGCAATTGGGTGAGTGAATGGATGGATGGATAGATGGACAGGTGTTTGATGGATGACTGACTGCAAACCATGGTGAAGGGGTAGATAGGTAGATGGGTAGGGGGATAGCTAAGTGAGTAGATGGGTGAAAGCATAGTTGGATGGATGGATGGGTGAGTGAATGGATAGGTAGATGGGTGGATGGATGGGTAGATGGTTGAGTGGATGGGTGTTTAGATGGATGACTGATTGCATAGCACGGTGAAAGTGTCCATAGGTAGATGGGTGGGTGAGTTGGTATGTGGAGGGATGGAGGGGTGGATGGTTGGTGGAGTAAATAATAGCCAGAGGCCTCTGTGGTCTAGGCAGACTTGGAGACTTTTCTACATGTGAAAAAGGAGACACATCATGAAAGGCCACAGTCAGAGAAGTTGTGTCCATGGCTGGGATGGAAGTCTCAGTGATGTAAGTGTGTAGAGGGGAAGGCAGGCAAGAAGAGCTGGCCCAGTGGCTCTGGGGAGCCAAAAGGCCTAGGGCTGGGAAAAAAATCAAATCACATTTTTCTGACACCAAACTGTAAGGACCAATCAAATCAATTTATTGTTAGTTCTGTTCCCCTCTGTTCTGCTTCTTTTCTGACCCCAGCATGCAGCACGTCTTCCTCTGACCGTAACCTCCCGGAGCGAAGTCAGAGTTCACAAGACAAACAGCACGGTGCTCCAGACTGCCAAGTCTGTCCAAGACCTCAGATGCCAGTTAAAAGATTGGGTGTCCCCACCACACCCTTACTTCTGACTTGCTGCCTACAAATTTGGGGTTTTCCCACTACCTCTTCAGGATGCCAGCCATAAGTCCCCAGGTCCCCCTCACTTCTGATCCACTGGCTCCCACTACTCCCTTGGGTTCACTAATTCACTAGAATGACTCAGAACTCAGGAAAGTGCTAAACTTAATGACTACAGTTTTATTATAGCAAAAAGGATACAAACAAAGAGACACATAGGGTGAGGTTTGGGAGGATTCCCAACACGGAGGTTCCATGTCCCAAAGGATAGATTACCCTCCCACGTGCATTGATGTCTTTCACCAACCAGGAAGCCCATTGTCTTAGTCTTCTAGTGCTAATGTAACACAGATACCACAGGTGGATGGCTTTAACAAAGAGAAATTTATTCTCTCACAGTCTAGTAGGCTACAAGTACGAATTCAGGGAGCCAGCTCCAGGGGAAGGCTTTCTCTGTCGACACTGGAGGAAGGTCCTTGTCATTAATCTTCCCCTGGACTAGGAGTTTCTCAGCACAGGGACCCCAGGTCCAAAGGACACGCTCTGCTCCTGGCACTACTTTCTTGGTGGTATGAGGTCCCCTTGTCTCCATGCTCGCTTCTTTCTTTTATATATCGAAAGAGATTGGCTTAAAATACAACCTAAACTTGTAGAGGGAGTCCTGCCTCATTAACATAACTGCCTCTAATCCTGCCTTGTTAACATCATAGAGGGAGGATTTACAATACATAGGAAAATCACATCAGATGATAAAATGGTGGCCGACCACACAATACTGGGAATCACGGCCTAGCTAAGTTGACATACATTTTTGGGGGACACAATCCAATCCATGCCATTACACCCTTTGACCCTCAAAAATTCATGTCCTTGTCACATGTAAAACACATTCACTCATTGCAAAAGTCTTACATCAACTCCAAGTCCAAAATCTCATCTTCTGCAAAATTCCTCCTCATCAGTGAAATTTAGAATAAAGTTATCTGCTTCCAAAGCACAATGGTGGAACAGGTACAAAGCAGACATTTCTATTACTAATGAGACAAATTGGAGGGAAAGAAGGGATAACAGGCACCAAACAAGTCAGCAGAACACATTACTTTAGCCCTCAAGCCTCGAAAATAATCCTGTTCTCTGAGACCGTTTAGACAATGGTCCCACCCCTCAGACTCTTAGGTATTGGCCACACTCTCCGGATTCTGAGTGGAGGCACCTCGGCTCTGGGTTTCAGCTCTGCTTTCCAGGCCCACTGAAACAGCAACTCTGATCCTTCGAATTTGGGTGGCCGCATTCTCCTAGTCTATCTGTGTGGCGACTCCACCCTTTGAGACCCCAGAGGTAGTGGCCCTACCCTTTGAGACTGAGGCAGCTCTCCTTCCTGTGCTCCTTGTCTCTTCAGCTTCTACTTCCTGGTTTCTTGGCCTCTTGGCCCCTCAAGCCTTATTGCCTGCATCTGCCCTTCTGGGGCAAGTGTTCCAAAGCTGTTTAGCTCCATAAGTGCCTGGAAGCACCCCACTCAGCCAGTAAACTTCAGCCAGAAATCACTCAGCTCTCTTGCTCCATGGGTTAGCAAGCCTAGCTCTACTGATACATGCTAGGAGGCACCCCATTCCTCCTGGAAGCTTCCTGTGCAAAGGCATTCAGCTCTCTCGCTCCATGGGTTGGCACTAGTACTGTCTAGCGCTGGTCTCCTAGTCTGCTGCTGCCATTTCTCTGCTGCTGCTTCTCGCCGTCTGCGCTGTCTCTAGCATAACAGCTCCCCTCATTTCCTTCTGAGCCCTCACCAGAACTGTTTTTGACGTCCATAATTCCACGAACAGTCTCTTCAAGGCAATCTAGGCTTTTACTATTATAAACCCACCCATTGCCGTTGAGTCAATTCTGACTCATAGTGACCCTGCAGGACAGAATAGAACTGTCCCACAGGGTTTCCAAGGAGCAGCTGATGGATTTGAACTGCTGATCTTTTGGTTGGCAACCTGAGCTCTTAACCACTGTGCCACCAGGGCTCCGCTTTTACTATTACTCACTTTAAAATTCTTCCAGCCCCTATCCATTCACAGTTTCAGAACTGCTTCCACATTTTAGGTATCTGTTAGAGCAGCACCCCACTCTTCTGGTACCAAATTCTGTCTTAGTTATCTAGTGCTGCTATAACAGACAGACCATAAGTGAATGGCTTTAACAAAGAGAAATTTATTCTCTCAAAGTCTAGTAGGCTAGAAGTCCAAATTCAGGGCACCAGCTCCAGAGGAAGGCTTTCTCTGTTGACTCTAGAAGGTTCTTGTCATCAATCTTCCCCTGATCTAGGAGCATCTCAGTGCAGGGACCCCAGGTCCAAAGGACACGCTCTGCTTCTGGCACTACTTTCTTGCTGGTATTGGGTCCCCCTGTCTCTGCTCGCTTCTCTCTTTTTTATCTCAAAAGAGATGGACTCAAGACACAACCTAATCTTGTAGATTGAGTCCTGCCTCATTAACATAATTGCCTCTAATCCTGCCTTATTAACATAGAAGTAGGATTTACAACACGCAGGAAAATCACATCAGATGACAAAATAATGGACAACTGCACGATACTGGGAATTATGGCCTAGCCAAGTTGACACACATTTTGGGGGGACACAGTTCAATCCATGACACCCATGGAGCTTCTGTGTCCAGAGCCTTCATGGGGGGTCTCATTATGTAGGCATGATTGATTGAATCATGTTAGTTTCAATCAACTCAATTCCCCAACTCATGGTGGCCCTATGTGTGCAGAATAGAACTGCTCCAAAGGGTTTTCAAGGCTGTGACCTTTCAGAGCAGTTTGCCAGGACTGTCTTCTGAGGTACCTCTGGATGGGTCCAAACCACCAACCTATCCGCTAGTAGTCGAGCGGTTAACCATTTGTGCTACTCAGGGACTCCTAAGGTCCACTGATATCACTGCCCTGTAGTCTTCCTGGCCTGATCAGCTCCCAATTCAGTGACCTCATCAGCAAAAACCCTCAGGTGTGGTGTGGAGGCTTCATTAAAGACACTTCCATCACTGGGGAAATTCCAAGGTTTTGAATGTTATCTGCCAAGGATCAAAGACATAGATGAAATTCTTTGGGTAAATTTAAATTCTTTACCTCACACCCAGCCAGGTGGGTCAGCTCAGCCCTGGCCCTTTTCCCCTTCCTGTCCTCAGGCAGAAGGAGCTGCTGTTCCACTTCCTGCAGCTGGTGGCTGGGGTGGAGCACCATCAACAGAAGTTCCGATCCCAGGCGTGCGTCATCGATGAGATTGTGGACACTACTTTTGAGGTGAACTAGGCAGATCAAGGGGGAGGGGCCAGGGAGGAAGGAGGACTCTGAGGGGTCGGGGAGGGGATTCATGAGATCTGGAAGGCAGAGGGGGAGCTGGCTCATTCACCCTCCCTGACTCTCATCCCACAGGCTGGAGAAGAGGACTTCAGGAAGTGACCTGTGCAGAGGGTCTTGCGTCTGGCAAGCTACAAGCTCCCGCTCCTCTCAGTCTGACCTGGGCAAGATCCCCAGAGTCCCTGTCCCCACAACTGGGGGTGGTAGTGGGTTGGAACAAGTCCTGGAATCTGCTGGAATGATCTTCGGGCCCTGCAGAGCTGAGGTCCCAACAGAGCTTTAAATCCCCAGGTGGCTCCATGTCCTCACTGGTTGGACCAAGGCCTGGGAAAGTGACCAGATTCAGGGCTGCGTGTGCTGGAGGGGACAGAGCAGCCCTGTCTTGGGGAGGAGGCTCCACTGGCCCAGGAGTCAGGAGAAAAAGAACAGGCTGGAGCAGCCCAGTGTTGTCAGGGTGGGGGACAAGTGGGCTCCAGGAATGGGGGCTCAGAGCCCTGGAACCTGGGCATACCAGGACCCTCAGCATCCAGAGTAAGGGTGCCAACCCAATGGGGCATCACAAGCTCGGAGTGGGAGGTTATTGCCCTTCCTAGGTCAGACTGAAGACCTTCAGTGAGGGGAGGGGGGTGGAGGCTGCACAAGTTCTCCGCTCCGGTGGGGGTGGGGTGGGGGCAGCAGTGTGGTGCCCAGAATAGATGAGTCCTTGTTAAGAGGGGAAACTGCTCCCTGCCATGCCTGGTCTGGGGCTTAGATTGAGCCCCTCCTCTCCGCCTAACCTGGGCAGGGTGCCCAGAGCCCTGTCTCCATGACTGGAGTGCCAGGGGGATGCCCAGAGCCCTGTCCCCGTGACTGGAGTGCCAGGGGGATGCCCAGAGCCCTGTCCCCGTGACTGGAGTGGCAGGGGGATGCCCAGAGCCCTGTCCCCATGACTGGAGTGGCAGGGGGGTGCCCAGAGCCCTGTCCCCATGGCTGGGGTGGTGGTGGGGCACTGCTTGTCTGCCTTCATCCAACAAGCACTGACCACGGCCCCCGAGTGCCTGGGTCACTGCAGGGCACTCGATACCTGGCATGGAGTCCTGCTCAAGCCCAGCCCTGGCCCCGGGTCTCCCCACCCAGAGGGGCTGTCTTCCACTACCTCAAACACCTGCCCCTCCTCTAGTAGACGTAAGCACAGCGTGGAGTGCAGGCTGGAGGGAGGCAGGGATGGGACTTTGCCAACCATCCCCCGACTTCACTGGCGAGGCTGCGATGATGCCTGGGGCCTCAGCAGGAGCAGCACCTCCCCTCCCTGGCCTGCAGAGAGGGCTGGCTGGCCCAGGGCCCCAGAAGGGACTGTGCCAAAGAAGTGTCATCTGGGTCTGGGCACAGATTCCAGGGGCGGGGAGGCCACCTGGCAGACTTCTCTGCCTCGCCTTGCCACCTCACACATTCATTCAACAAGCATTTCCTGCCGCCCATCTTGTGCCAGAAGGAGCCCTGGTGGTGCAGTGGTTAAGCGCTCAGCTGCTAACCAGAATTCGATGGTTCAAACCCACCAGTGGCTCCACAGAAGAAAGATGTGGTAGTCTGCTTCTGTGAAAACTTACAGCCTTGGCAACCCTGGGGGGCAGTTCTATGAGTCGGAATTGACTCGACGGCAGTGGGTGTGGTTTTCTCCGGGAGATCCTGTGCCAGCAGAGCGGGAGGCTCCTACTTGGTGGTACGTAGTGGCCCTCCTGAGCTGTCATACCTGACAGACTCAGCCAGAAGCAGAGCTGGAGACGGTTTTCCCTGCACCCCTAACTGCTGTCAAGCTCAACCCCTCAGCTCCTCCGACTCCACATGGGAGTCAGTGTCTATGTTCCTCTCCCCACCCCCACCCCAGAGCTGAGACCTGGGGGCTGGGACCCCAGAGCTGGAGCTGTTCTTTAGGTCCCAGCCTTGGGCAGAGGACTGGGCAGGCACAAGTGAGGGCAGGAGGGCTTGCTAGGAGGGCAGGGGGGCCGTCTGGGTGCCCTCTCCAGCCACGGTAGTTCTCTTTGTCTGGGCCTGATGGTGCCAACACCCAGTGCTCCCTGGGGACCCAGTTACTGCCCATCCTGCCCCAGGTGTGGGTGTGCTGGTGAGGCTGAGGGACACCTCTGGGCGTGGGCACCTGGGTCTCTGGGTGTGTGTGTCCAGGGGTCTGTGTACGTCTCCGGGTTGTTTCTTGGGGGGGTGTGGGCGTCTCTGTGTTTGTGTCTGTGCCTCTGGGTTGTTAGGTTGTGGTGTTTGTGTTTCTCTGGATGTGTGTGTGTCTGGGAGCATCTGAGTGTATGTGGGTTTGTGGGGGGGGTTCTGTGTGTGGGTGTGTGTGGTGTGTTGAGCAGTTGTGTGTGTGTGTGTGGGTGTGTGTGGTGTGCTGCACAGTTCTGTGTGGGTGTGGGTGTGGTGTGTTGAGCAGTTCTGTGTGTGTGTGCGTGTGTGTGGTGTGTTGCGCAGTTTGTGTGTGTGTGTGTGGTGTGTTGCGCAGTTCTGTGCGTGTGTGTGTGGTGTGTTGAGCAGTTGTGTGTGTGTGTGTGTGTGGTGTGTTGAGCAGTTGTGTGTGTGTGTGTGTGGTGTGTTGAGCAGTTGTGTGTGTGTTGTGTGTGTGTGTGTGGTGTGCTGAGCAGTTGTGTGTGTGTTGTGCGTGTGGGTGTGGTGTGCTGAGCAGTTGTGTGTGTGTTGTGTGTGTGGGTGTGGTGTGTTGAGCAGTTGTGTGTGTTGTGTGTGTGGGTATGGTGTGTTGAGCAGTTCTGTGTGTGTTGTGTGTGTGTGCGTGTAGTATGAATCGTAGCCACAAATTCAAAAGGCAAACACAAATTGCAAATACTGTCACAAATCAGTTTTTTAAAAATGGCAGTAAATTGACTCTGTCCCCCATCCCTCCTGTGAGTAAATCCAATCTGGGTCCCTCCAAGGGGACCTTTCTGGGCCTTGTGCAGGTATAGGAATCCTCATAGGCTGAGAACACAGTGTCCTGGGTTCCACCAGGCTGAGCCACCAGGTGCCACCTAAGTTCCTCTTGGATGCTGGGAGTGCAGGGCACACCCTTCCCAGAGCACCCACCGCCACCAGCCCCTGCCGAGTCTTGAGCATCACCCTCGGCCGTGACTCCCAGCCGTTAACTCTGAGAACACTGAGTCTCTGGAGGTGCGTTCCTCTATGTCTGTGACTGTGGGTGGGGTGTTTGGGACCTCAGGTTTGGGGGCCGAACAGCTCCCTCAGCCGTGTGTGGGCTGGGCCAGAGGAAGCTCAGCTGTGGTGTTTTGGGTGCTGGCAGCACGGGGTCTGGGGAGCTGCCAGGAGGGATGCGAAGCATTCAGAAGAGACCAACGCAGGACAGACGCAGCGTTAGCACTTTATTGTGACATGGCCCAGGACCCTGGAGCCCCCTCCACCGCAGCCGCCTGCTCCCACCCCAGCCGGCGCTCAAGCCACGGCCCGTGGGCCTAGTAGAGCGGCACACAGTCATGCTTCAGAAGCTGGGAGCTGTTCTGCCAGGGAACCACTAGCATCTCAAAGTCGCAGCGCAGCTTCTGCAGAGAGAGCACGGGGGAAGGGGGTGAACGTGGCCCCACAGGCTGCCACCTCCCAACAGCCTGTGAAGAGGGGCAGTCACTGCCCAAGGGGCCACTCATCAGATGGCCAGGGCCAGACCCCAGATCTTTCTCGCTAACCTCCCCATGCCTGGGAAGCTGCAGTCTCTCCTCCCTGCACCCCACCCTGGCCTGGGGGACTGAGTCACCCAGAAGGCCCAACAGGTCCAGTCAGACATGGGCCTGGCCAGCCAGACCAGTTCAGGCTGGACAGCTTGGGGCCTCTGGTGGCTGTGGAGGACTGGGGGCATGGTGCTGTTACCTCCTGCTGTGCGCCTGTGGCCAGGGGGCAGATGGTGAGGTCCACACTGCGGTCTCCGGTCACCGCGGTCTTGCGGCAGGCTGTGCTCCCCATTTCCACTGTCAAGTAGTACTTGATGCCAGCCACCAGCTGGGGACAGGGTGGGGCCGCTCAGCGGTGCCCAGAGAAAACCCCTGACCCCCACACCCTCCAACCTCTCTCTTCCCTCCACACCCTCGTATTCACCTAGGACACATTTGTCCTAGGGGTCCTGGGGGAGTCCTCGTGGGAGTGCACAGGCTCAGAAGGCCCCCCAGTTCCCTGGCAGAGGTGCAGGAGGCTGAGACCAAGCGCGCACACACACCCTTCCTGAGACCAGGGCAGGCTTCAAACTCGGTGCCATGTTCCCATCTCCCTCCATCCACTCCAATCCTCCACCACCTCCCCATCCCCCTCACCTCCTCCATGTCCCCATCCCCCCATGGCCCTCAGTGCCCCTCCATCTCCCTTACCCCATCCCCCCATGGCCCTCATTGGTGCCATCTCCCTCACCCCATCCCCCCATGGCCCTCATTGCCCCCC